GCTCGGTCGCATCCGGTGACGGACCTGGATCCCCAACTCGTGAGTCTTTGCTTAGAAGTGAGCCGAACCCTAGCAGACACCGGGGCTTTGCTGGTGAAGGATCCGCGTTGCTCCGCCGAGGACAACGATCGGTTCATTGACATGATGGAGAAGTACTTCGAGCAACCCGAAGAATTCAAGCGCCTCCAGGAACGTCCCCACCTTCACTATCAGGTCCTCCTTTGAATTTATTCGTTCTCTTTCCAGTCCCCACTGTTTTTTGTATATCAATTTTCCGGAATATAAAGTCCTTTAACTAAGCAAAATGGACTGCTGAGTGTCCAAATTGACAAAATTAGGGGTTGTGAATAGTATGAATTCCCAGAAAATCTTCTCAAATGGAGTTTTGGAGACATAAATTGCATCTGACTTTGACGCATTTCCCCCTTGAATATTTGCTATGGCAATTTCTGACAGGTTGGAGTGACACCGGAAGGAATTGAAGTGCCTCGCAGTTTAGTTGATCAAGATATCCAAGAGAAGCTAAAATCCTTGCCCAAAGAGTATCAGCCAGCTCCTCTCTCAGGGCCCGACCCTAAGTGGCGGTATATGTGGAGAGTTGGTCCACGGCCTGAAATAACCCAGTTTAAGGTTTCCTCAATGCATAAACATTCCATTCGTTAACCTACTCATTTTGCACTCCATGCTTACATATCAAGCATTTCACTTCTGTAGGAACTGAATTCAGAGCCAGTCATACCTGAAGGATTTCCTGAATGGAAAGACACTATGGATTCATGGGGATACAAAATGATATCTGCCATTGAGGTAAGTCAACATTTGTTTATTTTTTTCACTTGCTAAACTTGTGAGCTCTGAAATTTGTATCATTGCCATTTTCAGACTGTTGCTGAAATGGCGGGCATTGGGTTTGGCCTGCCCAAGGATGCGTTCACTTCACTAATGAAGCAGGTAATGTTTCCTTGAATATTGTATCACCACTTATTGAATCTGCTTTCCTTTACAATGGAATATTTCATTTAGATAACACAATCAGAGAAGACGAATCTCTAATTGAGTTTCAGTTATGGCATGTTTATCTGCTTTTGCATTGAATTTTAAGGGTTCCATAGTTTCTGTAATTACAAGTCAATGTGATACACGAGGTTTTAGATATGTTTCTTTATTGTGTAAAAAGTTGGGACCAAATAATGTAGGACTATGCACACTACAAATATTTTTTCATTCATTGTTCACTTGACAAACTGAAACTTTTCTTCATGACTTCACAATGTTGAGTGATAGTGACCCATTTCAAATTTCAGGGACCACATCTTCTTGCTCCGACTGGAAGTGACCTTAAACGTTATGGTCAAGAGGGTACCGTGTTTGCAGGATACCATTATGACCTTAACTTTCTTACAATTCATGGAAGAAGTCGATTTCCTGGTTTAAATATATGGCTCAGAAATGGGCAAAAAATGGAAGTGAAGGTCCCTGTTGGGTGTCTCCTCATTCAGGCAGGAAAGCAGGTATCAACTTTAAGTGCAATTATTAGTTAATGTGGGCTGCATCTGTTATATTTTAAGGACTTTGGATTGAAAAGTGCATTTGTCACTTACCAAGAAGAAGGAATAAAAAATAACCATGAATCGACTCAAAAGTGATGTTTCTCAAAGGGGAATTTTGTTTCCCATAAATTTGATGTCTGAGCTCTGAAATCAAGAATGCATTCTGTGCCTTTCTGGAAGGTTTCAGTCAAGGTTCCTTAACCCCATATCAAGCTACTAATAACATTTTTGCTTGTCCTACTTAGTTGCATGGTTTTGAGGGCTTGATAGGTTTAAGAAGTGAGTGGACTCGTGACCCACATTTTTCTCAAGCTCTCATTTCTTGGATAAATTATAGGATTATTAGGAGGTTAAAAGGTATGGAATTCGCTTAGAGCTCCATAGACAAAAGGTTATGGCTGCAGGACTGAAGTTGGTTGGGCATTTTCTATACATATAGTTAAAAACAAATTTTTGAAAGATACATTGCTGGCTTACAGATAACCTGTTAAAGAGCAAATAACTTTGATGATATGTATTTCGAGATCGATTTGCATCACATCTTATGACTACTGCTTGATTATATCTTTACTAAATCAAATTAAGCAAACCCTGCAAATTCTACTCAAGAATAGGTTCGTTTGGGGATTGTATGCATACCTTATTGTTACTCCAAGTAATAGAGAACACTTGATTTTTTATTTAAAAAAAATCTGAATTCATCTAATTATCCTCAACAATTTGAAATGTGCCAGATAGAATGGTTGACTGCAGGGCAGTGCATGGCTGGCATGCATGAGGTTGTTGTAACCAGCAGAACAACTGATGCAATCAAACGAGCATTGCAGCAAAACTGCAGCCTCTGGAGAGTATCATCAACTGTGAGTAAAGCCAAAATGCATATTCAATTGCACTCTTTTCTTTCGTTTTTCCTACAGCACTCAGGTTGAAAGTGAGTATTTTACAAATTCCAATTCCGGTAAAATTTTTGACGGTTTTTTTTGCTGCCGTGTAGTTGTTTGCACACATAGCATCAGATGCAGTGCTAAAACCGTTGGGACACTTTGCCGACACTCCTCTTGCCGGAAAGTATCCTCCGATGCGCGCGGGAGAATTCGTGGAGCAAGAGCTCTCTGTTATTAATCTCAAAGGTAAGAGAGGAGAGCCTTTATGATCTCCATCTCTTAGAAGCAAATAACATCACAACATTACTGCTGTGAAGTGATGAGCAAGATATGGAATTTGACATCAACGAGTCTAATTTAAACCTCAACTTGAAAGATTCAAAAAGATTCCATGCTTTAAATAAGTTTGTCTCACCATGAAGACATTTTGGGTGATAAAATTGATGTATTTTAACCTTTACAATTTGTATAATGTTAATTTCTCCACACAATGTTATCTTAGTGGTTACCTCTAAAATTGTGTTTACTGTTGTAAGGTTTATTTAAATGAATTTGCTTTTTCTTTTGAGAATTATCCATTTGAATTTGAATCGACAGAATTAACATACTCCACTAGAATTAACATAATCAGATTTTGAGAAGAGGTCGGTACCTATGACATTGGTAATCAATGCCATGGGATTACTAGGAGTACTCCGGTGTCCCGTTCGTAAAATTGATGGTTCCTACCCCATCTTAATTTCTCCGGTGTAGACACATAAAAATGTGTAGACATATAAAAGTATGTGTATATATGTACTATGTATATCTTTTTATGATATGAAGTTATCGTAGAATATCATAAACTATAAAAAAATAACAAAATAATTATCTCTATAAAAATTATAGGGTAGTTGATTTAATAATATTTTGATTTAGTTTAATTAAAAATTAAAGTATTGTTTGATTTGGTTTTAAAAATTAGAAACGGATATTGATATATCCGGAATCCGACGTATGCGGATACAGTTTTGATTTTCAGTATTCGTCAAGATTCGTATCCGAATTTGATATCCGACAAAAATAAACAGATAAGGATTTAGTAATGGCACCTCCGATCAGATTAATATCCGTTTACATCCCTACCTAGCGCCCACACTCCGAACCCATAGAATAGTGAGAGATAAATTGCCCTATAATTTTAGTTTGTTCCTCCAAGAGTCCAAGAGTTTCTTTATTGCCCGATGCACAGAAGAAGTTACTCAATTGGATAAAGCTCTTACACTGCCATTACTAAAAATTGATCATGAGAATTCGAACCTAACACGTCTTTCATAGAGGATCATCTAAGCTACTCGTGCGAGAAGAATTTATGAATTCAAACTAAATCCACCGAGTTACTGGTAGTACTTGCGTATTGATACTTTCCAGTTTCGAATTTGATCTCTGTTTCTCTCGATCATTGTGATGTAAATCTATCTTTGTTGGTTACTTCCTTTTTCATTCATCAAAACCTAGTAGACTGATCTACCTTTACAATGTACTCCTTCCATTCAAAAATTATCTTTCCGTTTCATCTTATGCTGTTTGTTTTTAAAAAAATCATTTCATATACTCCGTAAAAAATAGTATAGAATTTAAAAAGTAAAAATTGTATATTTAAAAACTACATTAAAAGAACTACAGAGTAAAAACTAAGAAATGACATGACTATTATTTTATCAAATGAACAACAAAAATAGGCTAATAAAGTGAATAAATTTGACCTTATAAATAATGAACGAAAAGATAGTTTGTAGATTGAGGGGTAACATTTCTTGAGCCCTGCTAGGAGTGGATTAGTGGTAGAAGAACCCATGTATTGACATTTCCTTAAAATTATATTGTAACCATTGACAAATAAACGTTTTGGTCATCCCTTTACCCATAGGAAAATTATTCCTCGTTAAACTGACGTTTGTTCTAATAGCAACCAAGAAAAAAAATTGTAATGAAGCGTAACAAGTGTTCATACCATCATAGTGATGGAACGCCATGAAGCTGAAGAAGCTCAAAAACCTGTCACAGTCATGCAAGTTATGTGTTATATTATGAGGCAAGGTTAGGACGGCAGCACGAAACAACACCCACTCGGCCTATATCTCCCCGACTATTAAATGAGGCACCAGAAGTGACACTGCCACCCCCACACCATTGAGAGACATTTCAGCCAAACTTAGGGCCCTAAAACAACAATGAAGCTTTCAGGAGTGGTGGTGGCGACGGCGGTGGTGTTAATGGTCATGGCCCATTTGGTGACAGAAAGTAAGGGTAATACTTGCGGGGCCACGTTCTTCTCGGCATTGGTTCAGCTCATACCTTGTAGGGCTGCAGTTGCTCCGTTTAGTCCCATCCCACCGGGTGAGGCTTGTTGTGCAGCCATCAAGGCCCTCGGGCAGCCTTGCTTGTGCGTGCTCGTGAATGGCCCACCAATCTCTGGCGTTGATCGAACCATGGCAATGCAGCTTCCTGAAAAGTGCACTGCAAATTTTGAGCCATGTAAAAGATCTCTCTCTTCTCCAACTTTCCAATTTATCTGATTTTTACAAAAATGACATCTCATGTTTGCAATACAGAGCATTATTTTTAGTCAAGTACTACAAACCCAAATTTTTTGGGGACGGAGATAGTAAAAAAAAGGACCACATCTTATGCTACAAACAACTCTATTGGTGGCATCACGACAATTTTAGAAACCATCTTTCTGAACTTGTGGCTGTTTAATGTGTGCAGGTGAGCTCATGTAGGGGACTGAAGGAGGGGACTTGAAATAAGAGTGGAGGGTGACCCTTTCTTCTTGAGGATTGCTAGATCAGTTTTTTCTTCTTTTCCTGCAGTTTACCTGTCATTGTAGACATAATGGTGTTTGTAGTACCGTTTATAATGCCTTTCGTGGGTTCACATTAAAAAAGAAACAGATAAGAATATAAATATCCCCATAAACAAAGGCGACAATGGGGAAATTTGAATTGGATTATACCTTATATCTGCTGTGAGTTCAAAAGACTATAGTTTCAGCAGAAACTATTCCACATAGACGATTCCTTCACCATCGCCATCCCATTCTTCGGCATCTTCATTCTGATCAGATGAGTCAGAGCTGTCATCAACTGGTGCATCTGCCTTCTTTTTCTCGCTCTCGCACTTTATTTTATCCAATATAGCAATAACCTGAAAGAATTTTATTTTTGTTGCTGAGCACGACCATATAAATCACACGGTGCACAAAATTAGCTACTTAAAGACATGGAGAAAGAATTTCCCAAACATGCTAATGCATTTTTACGCAGAAACTATAACTAAACCAAGACTACTGCATAAAATAAATTGTCATCTCTATACATAGTATATATCAATAAATTTCCAAGCATCATGAGAAAGAGAAATGAGAATAAACTCCAGCATAATTTATGTGCATGTACAGATTCTAGTACTCTATTTTGACCAATGCTTCAAGATACATATACATGTACTCTTACGTACCCGGCTTCCTCTCTCAAGAGACTCATCTTCAATAAATCGAATCTCGGGAGTAAGTCTCAACCTCATGCGCTTGCCCAACTGGCCTCGCACATATTTTTCTTTCGCCTTCAATCCTGCAATAGCCACTTCCCTTCCTCTATCATCCCCGAAAACAGAAACATACACTTTGACAACCTGCAATCAGTGAATCAGCTTATCTTGAGGCCACACAATGTAAACTTTAATTGCTTCCGAAACAAATCCAATAATATTTCGTTCTTCCCGCATTACTCAATTGTGAAGTGCATAAGAATGCTTGATACTGAAGTGAATCATCAAAGCAATACAAAAACCAATCTTTTCTTATTCAATGTCTTCTTCAATTGAATTTGGAAATAATGCTACCAAAACTATTTCTACAAAACTAGAGCTTTTGAACCTCGGTCCAAAACTACCAAAATAATACATTCAAAGGAAACCACTACAAATGGCAGTGGATGAAATGTTGTATCCTGATAAATGACCATTGTAGTAAGAGCTAGAAACTAGGGGATCGAGATAAACCCTAGAAGTTTAACAGAGAATTAACCCCAATTGGGGGATTAGAAACACAAAAGCTTAAGGCGAGTTCAGAACGGATTAAACCTGCAAATCGGTAGAAACTTCAACATCGCTGATAGAAGTAAGCGAGGACAGGTACAGATCAGCTCCGAGACCATATTCAGGCATAATCGCGCTCTTCAAAACCTTATCCGTCAGTAGCATGTCGGAGATCTCCCTCTTTATCTGGCTAGCAACCATTTTCACTCTCCGAGGATTGGCCATGCATTTCACTAGACCGCCTCTGCCGTATCCGCCACCGGAAGTGGAAATCCGGCGGAGTGACCCAAGCCGGAGAAGATTGAGTGGAGAAATCGACGGCGGAGCATTATTTGAATTTGATAGGGAAGTAGGGAGAGGACATGGCAGTTGATTCTGGATGAGAAGCGGCTGCATTCCAAAACTATTTCCTTTGAAACTCCGGTTTTCTTTCCGCCGGTGAGGGGTTTATGGAGGCAAAAGAAAACCAAAATATCCGACTCCTACCCTCTTAAACCACCCCACCCATGTTAGAGTTCAATTGATTTTGAGATCAAAAGTTTTGAGTCTAAAATTAACTAAACTTATCGGATGCAATTGAAGTTGGTCGTAGTATAAGTTATGATCGGAATTGGGTAGAAGTAAAGGAATAAGAATTATTAATTTTGTAAACAGATAACATAATTATCCCAATTAGAACAGTGTTTTATGTGACCCCTCAAAGAGAATAGCCACAGAAACTAGCCAATGTAAATTGGTAAAACATAGGGTACGTTGGTGAACGAACGAAACTCAACTGGTTGAGTAAGAAGTGTCAAAGAGGTAAACTCGGGTTTTTTGTTTCATCTTTTGCCAAGAGATAAAGTACGACACTAAAGGTCCGTCTCTAATTTTTTTACTCGTACTCATCATTTATCCAAAATGATCATATCATCAACAACTTTATATTATAGTACAATTAAATTAAACAAAAGTGAGGTGAAAAATAAAGAAGATAGGGAAAGATAGAATGATGTTGGAAAAAAAATGGAGGGATTAACAGATAATGATTGATGAGGATTATATTTTGTATAAAATGTAGTTCAAAAGGGAGAGTTATATTCCTCTCGTCTCATAAAAAACTTGACGTTACGATCTATGACATTTGATTGAAAGTATTTTTTATTTAATTTATTTCAATATTGGTATTTTTTTCATTGCAAGTACAACTTTCAATTTTGTACACCCGGTAGAAACCACCAAAATCAATGGAGGCAGGAAAAGAAAAAAAATGATTTTCTCTCATTTTCCTCACGAAAATGGGAGGAATTTTGTTTTCCTTTCTGTTAGTACATTTTGTCTTCTCTTTTCTTTTTCAATTCCACTTTTCTTTTCCTCTCTAACCAAATAAGAAAAATATTTTTCTTCTCATTTTTTTTCCTTTCCCTCTCAAATTCTTTGAACCAAACATAGTCTTAAGGATTGCGTCCACTATTATTGAAGAGATTAAATACACAATTACACACTAACAGGTCTTGAAAATACATTGTTACAGAAACTAACTACATCTTCTCTTCTCCCTTCATTTTACACCTACTTTTTTATCACCTGTACAGCAAAATTCAGTCTTTTTACCATTTCAATTCAGTTGAGCTTCACTGGAACAAGTGCATTTTGCCTTGTTATCTCTGAGTATCTGCAACAATGGCAACCACTAATGCATGAGCCAAGGCATAAAAGATTATTCACATGAGTATTTGCCTTTCTTTTTTTGGTCAAACAGTGACACTCTTTGACTATAAATCGTGAGAAAAGTATATTTAATTATAGGAGTATTTATTTAGTCCCCCCCCCCAAATATATACCTGGACTTGTGTCTGGAGTTCTTTAATGTGCTCAACTGCCCAGTCCAACATATCAGCTGTGCTTGTTTGCTGCACATGAAAATGTCACCTTTAATTTATTTTTGGACAGTTCCCAAAAATAATGGTGATCTTAGGATTTTACCTTGTCAAACTTGGGAATTAGCTCTTGCAATTTCTTCATTCTTTCGCTAATCCGAGTGCGTCTCTTCTGTGCACACAAACAAAAGCCATCAACTTCAGTTTGCGTTACAGATGATAGGCCATGAAATGCTTGAATTGAACCATATTAAGGGCCCGTTTGATGGGTTTTGGAGGTATGATAAGATATGAGTTTTGAAATCTAAAAAAAATTATATGGGTTTTGAAATCTGAAACGAAGTTATTTGGAAAGATTTAAAATCATGACTTAATTAGTGATAGGCTTTGGTGACGGCAATGGTGGTTGGCAGTGACAATGGTAGCTGGTGGCATAAAATGGTCAAATTGAGAGAGATATCAAACCCCCATATTGATATCTCTCAAGATCGGGATATATCAAAACCCTCCGTTTGGAGGATTTATGATATCTTAAGATATCATACTCGATATCTCATTTGGCTTCACCAAACATCAAAAAAGAGTTTTGATATCTGGAGATATCAAAATCCATATCTCTTTTGGTCACTCAATCAATTATGTAATTCAACACAAGATTTTATAAACCTGACATTTTCTCTTCTAAGTTTCGATATAAACGCAACCAAAAACATAAAGATGGGAAAAAGATTGAGAAGTACCCTCTCAGCAATGCTTCTTGGGTGAGTGGCACACCCTCTTTTAGCGCGGGTTTTACACGGAACAACGCCTTGTTGAAACTGCAAATATGTCTCCATCTCAGCAGAGGTACTGGGCAAGCTCATTTGGTGAATTAAACCTGGTGCTTCACAGTTTCTTTGTCCACCTTTCTCACTCTCATTCTGGCACAAGGGAAACAATAAAATTACATCCATATCAAATACAACTTCGTATGTGTACCCAAGCTATGTTAGAGCCCACATTAGACCCTTGAAGAGGAAAAAGCACTTGAGGTTTAAAAAGATCTTGAGTTCAAACCGTTAATCGATTGAACGAGTTACCTGAGCTTCCATAACATTATTGAGAGCTGATAACATTTTGAAGTCACCATTTCTGGTCCTTTTTAAGCAGTTGTAAGAAGAATCATTCCAAGACTCATTTTCTGCTATGATTGGCATGATGAAGTTTGAAGCACAAGATTGAGCAGAGGAGTAGCTGATATTATTGTTGTTGTTGTTGTTGAACCCATCATCATTTCCTGCCTCTCTCATGTCAAACCCTGAGACCCATTAACAACTGCTCAAAACACAGCCAATCTTGATCATATTTGTATCGAGCATAGAGAAAAATCATGAACACGAAAGAACCCCGAAAGTACCCGTCTTTGAAAGACTAATTAAAGTTCCATTTGGCATTAGTCTTACCCTTTTAGAAATGTTATCCAATCGTAGCATTTGTTGTTGGTGCTTTCATAGTTAGTCCAAGCCATTGAAAATTTATCCAAAACGCTAACCGAAAACGAAGTTTAAACCAACCCCAAATTTCTCTCGATCTTGCTCTCTAAGTAAGTTGTTAGAGTAGCTTAAACTTTTGATTGAATTAACTTCTCGACATGGTATCAGAAGACCTTAATCAAGAGGTTGCGAGTTCGAGCCTCACTGACAACAGAATTTAGACAAATTAATGTTCAGGAAACCAGAACTTTTGGAGAAACTTTACCAGAGAAGAAATCAGGGGGCGAGCTGCTTTGCCTGATGAGATGCATCTCCATCTCCACACCATAAGATCCGATCTCATCAAGAGCTCCATAACCCGTCATCTCCTGGTGAACTTCAAGGCCTTTTCTTCCATTTCCGCTCAACGGGCTCTGCTCGTGACCCGACCCGATGCGGGTCAAAATGGACGAGAACATGGTCTCCGAGTCCGAGCTCGAAGAGCCGTCGTTGTTCGCCGGGAAGCTCTCCGCCCCGCCGTTCACGGCGGCGGCGGAGATGTCCAGCATAGCGTCAAAGAATGAGCTGGGAGCGGAACTGTAGCGCATCAGATCCCTCTGGTGATCTGATTCGAAGATTTCCTCGATCTTCTGCAACTCATCCTGCGGAACCATCTGGTCAGCAGGGCACAAGAACTTCTTCGTCTCTCTGGAAATTTCTGCTTCCGAGCTAAACATGGTCACATCTAAATGTTTCTTTTTGTTTGAGAAGAATCTATCTCTGGGGAGATTGCAGAAAATTGAGGCGAGGGAGGAAATTTGTGGGTTGAGAAGGGGTATTAAGCAGAGGGGACTGGTTCAAATCTACGCAACTTTGTGGGAAGAAAGGGAAGAAGAAAGGGAATAAAAGCAGTCACGCACGAGACAGAGAGGCAATGTGGCATTCCAAGTTGGTGGGCGGGGGCTCGTGTGCCGAGCGTAGCTCAAGCTAGCGGTATTAGCCACCGGGTCAAAACGAGTTAATGACAGTGAATCATTTTTTAAAATTTAACTATAATTAAATAAAAGTTATATGATACTCCGTATATTAATTAGATAAAGTAACTCTTCATATTTCAAAACATATTTGGTAAAATATAAGTTTTATAGGATTATTTTATATCAATATCTAATATTAATTTTATTTAATTAGTTTTCAAACTTTATCATTTTGAATGTGAAAAGTCAGAATTAGACAAATACTCAAGGACAAAGGTAATATTTGAATTACGAGCAAAGTATATAATTTTTTTATTCAACTTATTACAATCTTTTTGAAAACCTTTATTTTGACCGTTCTCTTTGTTTAGTCTGGTTGGATCTAATTTGATTTTATTAAAACTTGATTTGATCTAGTGTGATGTAATATAATTTGGTATAATCTGATTTTTTCTAGTCACATTTAAAAGGAAAAAAAGACCAAGGACCTGTTTGGGAATAGCTTTAGCGATTAGCGTTAGCATTTTGAAAAGGCTATCGACGGGCAGCGTATAGCGTTAGCGTTTTCAAAGTAATCTGCACCGTTAAAATTTTATCCAAAACGCTAACGCTAATCTCTAACGCTATTCCCAAATAGGCCCCAAAACTATTTCTGATCTTATTCGGTCAGTATGCCCACACATTGAAATGAACTAATATTTTAACTTGTGCTACAAACGTGGTCGAATGAAACTTTTGTCCATTTTGTGATTTATCTTCAATACAATATTTTTAGATGAGTTTATGAAAATATATATAGTGCGTTATTTAACACTCTAGACATTAAAATCAAAGTAAAGAAAAGAGAGAATCCGAGTAAAAAACTACGAAAATGCGAAAATATGAGTCATGAATCTTTTAAAACCAAAATAGGATTCACACTGTCATTGTTACACTATCACATTCACCCATATTGTCACATTTTAACTGTCACACTGTCATTCTTCATCGCCGGCCACCAGAGTACCACCACAGATCACCGATGGTTGACTGATCACACGGATATATTACACTCTCATTATTTTCTCAATCACACTGCCAACATGAACTTTTAAACCACACTGTCATTATACTCATATTTTGTTCTTAAAAGACTAATGATTCCTATTTGATATCTTCATACTCTTTTACTTTTATTAAGGAAGAATTTTTTAAAACAAATAATTTAGCATTTAATATCGGGTAATGAACATGCTTATATATAAATTCAAAATTGACTACCTCAAAGTCCTTTT